TGTAATTTGTAATTAAAATGTATTCTGCAGGTGGGAGATTCTATATTGGACCGTTCTATATCTACTGTTACTAACAGACTACAAAAACATCGTCAAATTATTAAATATTTATCAAAAATAGTAAATTATTTGTTAAACAGCATGGGTGTAATTGAAAAAGCAACGATGCATAGTTATGTTTAATTTCCCGCCCTTTTGGTTCGACTGACTGGTGGTGTACTCTACAGGTGAATTCTATTATTAGCAATAGTTTTCCTTGAATAAGCTAACGAACAGCTGATTAACTTCAGTGTATAAAGACGTAAAAAACATCATTTACGCGATGTAACTTAAATGTTCTTAATTATTGATTATTACATACGAATATTACTTGTTTAAGTTTATTGTATATACACGTGCAGCAAAGCATAATTATCTATATGATAGATGTAAACAAAATTTTAATAAGGTTCACTAAAAATTTCCACTTTTTTTACTGAAGAAAGTTTTCAATTGACAATGAAATTTTGTCGATATTCAACGAATTAAGTAAACATTCTTTTTATATGCAGTAATAGCTTTGTATTATAATTGTAAAAAGTAAGTACTATTCTTGAATGTTTATATTACAATGTCACAAATGCATAGTTTAAAGAACTAATTAAATTCTTCCAGGAAAGAAACGTCCAGGGAAATGGAAAGTGTGGACAAAAATTTAGCACTACCGCCTGATAAAATGCCAAAATGTTGGTATGAAGAGGAAAGAATGAATGCCCTATTTTCCCCTTTCCGAAGCAAATTGGCAAATCCCTTGGATTGGTCATCTAAATATAAGTTTTGGCAAAATTTGATATACGAATGGCTGAATTACAAGCTGCAGTGCAGTTTTTCCATTGCAGATTTAAATGTAGCTTTTAAAAGAAAAGGATGCACACCAGTTTGTTTAGTAACTGTTGTTGAAGAACTTCTTCGGTAATGTTAGTTCTATTCTTAAATGCATGTTTGATNTGTTGTTGGATATGGTAAAATATATTTTCTATATGTTTTTGTACATATTTATACCTTTCTATTTAATAATGTTTATATTAGTTCGAACTATTTTTCATTATATTTATTATTAAATGTCCATAAGTTTCGTGTGTAATAATTTCATATTCATAATAAAATTTTTATTGAAATATAAATTACAAATTTTGAATCTCTTATTTAAAAAACATAAAATATAGCTAAGTGTAATTNGTTGGATATGGTAAAATATATTTTCTATATGTTTTTGTACATATTTATACCTTTCTATTTAATAATGTTTATATTAGTTCGAACTATTTTTCATTATATTTATTATTAAATGTCCATAAGTTTCGTGTGTAATAATTTCATATTCATAATAAAATTTTTATTGAAATATAAATTACAAATTTTGAATCTCTTATTTAAAAAACATAAAATATAGCTAAGTGTAATTTGTAATTAAAATGTATTCTGCAGGTGGGAGATTCTATATTGGACCGTTCTATATCTACTGTTACTAACAGACTACAAAAACATCGTCAAATTATTAAATATTTATCAAAAATAGTAAATTATTTGTTAAACAGCATGGGTGTAATTGAAAAAGCAACGATGCATAGTTATGTTTAATTTCCCGCCCTTTTGGTTCGACTGACTGGTGGTGTACTCTACAGGTGAATTCTATTATTAGCAATAGTTTTCCTTGAATAAGCTAACGAACAGCTGATTAACTTCAGTGTATAAAGACGTAAAAAACATCATTTACGCGATGTAACTTAAATGTTCTTAATTATTGATTATTACATACGAATATTACTTGTTTAAGTTTATTGTATATACACGTGCAGCAAAGCATAATTATCTATATGATAGATGTAAACAAAATTTTAATAAGGTTCACTAAAAATTTCCACTTTTTTTACTGAAGAAAGTTTTCAATTGACAATGAAATTTTGTCGATATTCAACGAATTAAGTAAACATTCTTTTTATATGCAGTAATAGCTTTGTATTATAATTGTAAAAAGTAAGTACTATTCTTGAATGTTTATATTACAATGTCACAAATGCATAGTTTAAAGAACTAATTAAATTCTTCCAGGAAAGAAACGTCCAGGGAAATGGAAAGTGTGGACAAAAATTTAGCACTACCGCCTGATAAAATGCCAAAATGTTGGTATGAAGAGGAAAGAATGAATGCCCTATTTTCCCCTTTCCGAAGCAAATTGGCAAATCCCTTGGATTGGTCATCTAAATATAAGTTTTGGCAAAATTTGATATACGAATGGCTGAATTACAAGCTGCAGTGCAGTTTTTCCATTGCAGATTTAAATGTAGCTTTTAAAAGAAAAGGATGCACACCAGTTTGTTTAGTAACTGTTGTTGAAGAACTTCTTCGGTAATGTTAGTTCTATTCTTAAATGCATGTTTGATTAATATCAATTTGAAGAAACTTGTTTCTGGGTGATTATTAATTTATGTAATATTTTGTAGAAATAATGAAATAATTTCAGAGGTTGATCTTTTGAAAGAACCTTGTGTTTCTTGGACAGCATGGTCAATCGACATCTTTGTAAAACGACCACTTGCATGGTCATTTTCCAAGGTCAAAAGTTATGTTGTTAGCAATGAAATTAACAAGGAAACTATATACACACATTTGCAAGTCCTTAAAAATCTAGGGGAACTGGTGTTCTCTATTTTGAAAAATAAAAAAGAAAATGTTCTTGTAGCATTTTCTGAGATAGTAAAAGATTGTAAATCTGAAATAAACAAAGATATATCAGATAATACCGTAATGTTAGTGTTAATTTGGTTGAGACGGGAGAAAAGAATCACCTTTACAAAGAACACAGATAATGATGAATTATTGATAAAAATTACTGTTCATTCAACCGATAATGTAACAGAAATTGAAGAAGGATTATACAAACTGCTCAAACAGGAGAACGAACTTATGAAAGAAATACAACTTATGGAGGAAGCAAAACTTAATGTCATAAATGAAGCTAAATCCTATTTAGCTAGAGGTCTACGCCAGGTAGCAAAAACACATTTAAGAAAAAAATTGGAATTAGAAAATACTATCCAAAAACGAGCACAAACACTCGATAATATTCGAATTCTTATATCACGCATTCAAGATACTCACACAAATACAGCTGTATTATCAGTTCTTAAAACAGGATCTGATGTATTAAAGAAAATGAATGAGAGTGGATTATCGGAAGATAATGTTAAGGATGTTATGGATGACTTATCCGAGGTAATTGTAAATAACTTAATTCCACTCATTTTTATTTTATATAAAAAATTGTGAACTGATATTAACGGTAAATTTTAGATGTTGGCAGAACAAAACGAAGTACAATATATATTATCAAAATCCTTTGAAGATAACGAATCAAATACTGATTTGGAACAAGAATTGGAAGAATTAATGAAACGCGATGAAGTTGTTTTCCCGATAATTCCAAATTCCCCATTGAAAAGCACTGTTGATGAACTTCAGGATAGTTTTAAAAACTTGAGTTTTGGAAGTAAGATATTTATAATGGTACAAATATAACACACAATTTCCATTGTAATTCTCCTAATAACTTCCTTTTTGTAGGTCCTACGATATCCAAAACTTCTTCACCGGAATCAACATCCCAATCAACCCGAAAGAAGCAGAAATTAGCCGAATTTGAATGTGCATAAAATATGTACTCTAAAATTGCAAACTTTGATTCTTGCGATATTTCAAAAACATGATCAATGTATAACCATACATATCTTTTTATTTACGTGTTTACACGATAACAATACTT